GTGTGTGTGTGTGTGTGCGTGCGCGCGTGTGTGTAACACACAAATATACAACCCTCCCCTCTCTCTCTCTCTCTCTCTCTCTCAGTCAGTTTTCTGTCTCTACACAAGTGACTAGAAGGTTTTCCACTGCTCTCTCCAGGAAACAGGTATGTATTCTGTGTTTATCATCTGTTAAATTAATGAATATTACAAGATGTTTTACTTTGGCTGACATGTAAACCTGAAGATCTGCACAGAGTTTCTCTTAAGTATAAAGAATGAATGTTTTGTGTCGTGGTTTCTGTTTACCATCACTTAGCAATGTTGGTTAATGTTCAACTGTTGAGTGATCATAAATTAAGGGATATAAAATAATGTGTAAAGGATGCAGGCATTCTTATAAATATATAAATTTATATAAATCCTGTCATTTAGAGATAACTCTGTTTTAAGGATAGAAATGTTCTTCTTATCTGTTTAAATGCATGAAAAAATCCAGGGTGGGGCAGACCTGCTGGACAAGTCCAGCTCACTTCTTTGGTCCTTTGTCTTTAGTCACATCTTTAGTCAACATCAGATTATTTTGATGAATGGTGGGTGGACGTCATAAATATGAAAATGCAATTTATTATGTTCGTTCTCATGTCGCAGATCTTTAATAATGGAGAAAGGACCCGCTCTCCCTCCATATTCTGGTCCTGAGGTCAACCAAACTCAGTTCACACCTTACCCAGTACAATACCAGCCTCAGCCAGGTAAAATCACCACATACACACTGTTATAAAACATTTGAGTCAACTTAAAAGCTCTGACTTTTATCTGGTTTTGCTATTATCTTGACAAATACTGTCTTGTTGAAATTACTTATACCATTTTTGAAGTCGTGGTTTTCGATTTGCTCAACAATTATTACTCAACTTAAGTCAAGTTGTCAACTGGGAAAATATTTTACCTTCAATCCACATAGAAATAATCATTCTTTTATTCATTTAACATATTTAACAAGCAATTCAACACTTGAAAAAAATACTCTTTTAAGGGTGCATATTGGATGACTTTGGCAAAACCCTGAGAATAAATGACATTTGTACAATCAAAACCACAGGGACTTTTCCTCACATTTCATGCATGGATCTGAGAGAAATTTGATGATTCTGAGATTTCATCATGATTTTATTTTAATCCCACCATCTTCAGTTTATCCACCTCATCCCAAAGATGGTTTTGCTCCAGCGGTCCAGTCTTCACCAGCACCTGTTGTAGGTGAGTCTCTTTCACTTCCTATCCATTACAAAACATGCTGGTGTCAAACTATAATGGGTGAATATTAACATTTGTGCAAACAGCTTAAGTCAGCAGACGCTCTATTTACTGAAGTAACTGTAAACCATGCTAATGAACACAACATTTTATCTTGACGCCAACAACAGAAGGCAAAACATTACAAGCAGAGACCCTTATGGCCAATAGAGTTTCCATTAAAACAGTACAGCTTCATTATAAACATTAAAACCAGTACATTTTTAATGGGTTAGTGTGTTTTGAGATATACTCCATTGGGATTCTCTATTGGACCAATAGAGGGCCAAGAAATACCAGTAGATTTTCAACATTATAACCATTAAAACCAGCACATTTTAATGGTTTCTAATGTGTTTTGAGACATACTCCATTGAGTCTACTTGGTTTTAAAACACCATCAATAAAAACCCAAACAAATACTAGTAGAGTTCCAATATAATTCCTATTATAACCATCATAATCTGTACATTTTAACTGTTTCTAGTGTGTTTTAAGAAACTCCATTGGGATTCATTGGTTTTAACATGCCACCAAAGATATAGAATTACCAGTAGTTTACATTAAAACCAATATAATTTCCATTATAATCATTAAAGCTATTACATTTGAATGGTTTCTAGTGTATTTTGGAATGTACTACAATAGGATTTATTGGATTTAACATACCATCATCAACACACAGCAAAACATTACCAGCAGAGACCCAAAGGATCAAAAGAGTTCCCATTAATACCAATACATTTTCTTATAAACATTAAAACCAGTACATTTTAATGGTTTCTATTGTGTTTTCAAACATACTCCATTGGAATTCATTGATTTTGCCATGCTACCAATAAAGGCATAGCATTAACAATAGAGTTCCCATTAAAACCAATATAATTCCCATTATAACCATCAAAACTCAGTACATTTTAATGGTTTCTAGTGAGTTTTTAGACGTACTCCATTGGGATTAATTGATTTTAACATGCCACCAATAAAAGGCATAGAATTGCAGTAGAGTTTCCGTTAAAACCAATATAATTCCCATTATAACCAATAAAACTAGTACACTTTATTGGTTTATATAGTACTATTTTGAAATCTACTTCAAAAGGATTAATTGGATTTACATTCCACTAACAACACAAGGCAAAACATTACCAGCAGAGACCCAAAGGACCGATAGAGTTTCCATTAAAGCCAATACAATCTCTTATAAACATTAAAACCAAACATACTCCATTGGAATTCATTGATTTTGCCATGCTACCAATAAAGGCATAGAATTAACAATAGAGTTCCCATTAAAACCAATATAATTTCCATTATAACCATCAAAACTCAGTACATTTTAATGGTTTCTAGTGAGTTTTTAGACATACTCCATTGGGATTAATTGATTTTAACATGCCACCAATAAAAGGCATAGAAATATCTGTAGACTTTCCATTAAAACCAATATAATTCCCATTATAACCATTAAAACTAATACATTTCAATGCTTTCTAGTTTGTTTTGGGACATTTTGGAACATACTATAAAAAGTTAGTTAAATTTAACACATCACCAACAACACAAGGTGAAACAATACCAGCGGAGACCCATACAAGCAATAGAGTTTCTTTTAAAGCCAATACAATCTCTTATAAACATTAAAACCAAACATACTCCATTGGAATTCATTGATTTTGCCATGCTACCAATAAAGACATAGGATTAACAATAGAGTTTCCATTAAAACCAATATAATTTCCATTATAACCATCAAAACTCAGTACATTTTAATGGTTTCTAGTGAGCTTTTAGACATACTCCATTGGGATTAATTGATTTTAACATGCCACCAATAAAAGGCATAGAAATATCTGTAGAGTTTCCATTAAAACCAATATAATTCCCATTATAACCATTAAAACTAATACATTTCAATGCTTTCCAGTTTGTTTTGGGACATTTTGGAACATACTATAATAAGTTAATTAAATTTAACACGTCACCAACAACACAAGGTGAAACATTACCAGCGGAGACCCATACAAGCAACAGAGTTTCTTTTAAAACCAATACAATTCTCTAATAAACAATAAAACCAGTACATTTGATTGGTTTCCAGTGTGTTATTAGACATACTCCATTGGGAATAATTGGTTTTAACATGACATCAATAAGATGGAAATGGTTACCATAGGGTTTTATTAACACCAATATTATTAAAACCATTATAATCAGTACATTTTAATGGTTTCTTGTATGTTTTGAGACAAATTACATTGGGATTCATTGATTTTAACATGCCACCAGTAAAAGGCATAGAATTACCATTGAAACAAATATAATTCCCATTGAAACCATGAAAGCTAGTATTTTTAATGGTTTCTGTATTTTGGAATGAACTACGATAGGATTAAGTGGATTTAACATGCCACCAACAACACAAGGCAAAACCAGCAGACACCCATACGATCAGTAGAGTTCCATAAAACCAATACAATTCCCATTATAACATTATAATCAGTACATAGTAATGGTTTCTTGTGTGTTTTGGGATAAACTCCACTGGGATTAACTGGTTTTAACACACCATCAAAAGAAAGCAATAATGACCAGGCTTTCATTAAAACCAATATAACTGTCATTATAATCAGAACAGTGTAATTGTTTTGTGTTTTGGGACATACTCCATTGCGATAAACTGGTTTTAGCACACTATCAATAGAAAGCAAAAAATTATCTTATATTAATATACTTATATTTTATATAATTTTTATATATTATAAAAATTACTTATATTAATATATAAGGTTACATTAAAACCAATAAAACCAATATAATAAGTAAGATTTAATGGTTTCTTGTGTGTTCTGTGACATCCTCCATTAGGGTTAATTTGCAAATGCCAAAAAACACCATTAAAACCAATATAATTCCTATTATTACCATTAAAACCATGAAAATTCATTACAACTTCTGTGATAGTCTCCTTTTGTTGTTGTTTTTTTTTCAGTCTGGAAGTCAATCTATTCTACTTATAGGAATTAAATATTCTTGAAGCTGATATTCGCACAGCACTCTACTGTAATAGTTCATTTGAATTTATATTCTGTGCAGTCACGCAGGTGGTTATGATGCCACCTAGTCTGAGCGATGTCCCGGGACAGACGAAATGTCCTCACTGCCAGCAGCAGATCATCACAGAGACGCGATACGTCAACGGCCTGCTCACCTGGCTCATCTGCGGAGGTCTCGGCATTCTGCTGTAAGAAACAAACAAGTGCAAGACATCATTACACACATTCACATACTGTACATTTGCAAACATGTGTGCAAGGATCTTTTAAAGGTGCTGTATGTACGTTTTTGACTCTTCGAAAGCATAAAAACACAGTATGTTTGGAGAGATTTAAGAAACATGCTCAGTGAACATACTTGTTTTTCTGAAATGCTGAAGTCAGATACAGTTGAAGTCAAAATTATTAGCCCCCCTGAATTATCAGCGCCCCTGTTTATTTTTTTCACCAATTTCTGTTTAATGGAGGGAAGATTGTTTCAGCACATTTCTAAGCATAATAGTTTTAAAAACTTATTTCTAATAACGGATTTATTTTATCTTTGCCATGATGACAGTAAATAGTATTTGACTAGATATTTTTCAAGACACTTCTATACAGCTTAAAGTCACATTTAAAGGCTTAACTAGGTTAATAAGGTGAACTAGGCAGGTTATGGTAATTAGGCAAGTTATTGTATAACGATGGTTTGTTTTGTAGACTATCTAAAAAAAAAAATTGCTTAAAGGGGCTAATAATTTTGTCCCAAAAATGTTTTTTAAAAAATTAATAACTCCTTTTATTCTAGCCGAAATAAAACAAATAAGACTTTCTCCAGAAGAAAAAATATTATCAGACATACTGTGAAAATGTCCTTGCTCTGTTAAAAATAATTTGGGAAATATTTTCTAAAAATTAAATAAAATCAAAAGGGGGCTAATAATTCTGACTTCAACTGTATTCTGCTTAGAAAATGTGCGTTCTGTGTAAGAATGTCTTTGTTCTGTTCTCTATAACCAGCCCACTGCCAGTTTAGCCAATTAAACTTCCTCACCTTGGGTTGCCTTGATGGAAAACACAGTGTATTATATTTCAGTTATGAAGGCTTTCTCAATGTATTGTCGTGGCTGAAAATGTGGCCTCTGGAGGACAGTAGCAGCCTCCAAAATGAAACAGAGATTCAGAGTTGCAAAAGTCCACATGGGGTGTTTTTAATTACCAAATAATTCAAATATCACAAACATTAGCTCAAGGGAGTCCAAACTCAGTCCTGGAGGGCCGGTGTTCTGCGGAGTTTAGCTCAAACTTGCTTCAACACACCTGCCAGAAAGTTTCTAGTATATCTAGTAGGGATGCACCGATAACGATACCAGTATCGGGTCGATACTTGGTTAAAATACACATACTCGTATCAAACATGAAAGGCCGATACCACGCACAGAAATCACTCAACAGTAATTCACTACATGGATATTATTTGTAGCTGACTTCAATGTCTTAATGTATTAATTAGCCTGGTGTATTATATACTAATAGCTTAGTCCTTATAAACAATCTGTTTAAAAAATACAATATTAACGAATATTTAGGCTACTAAAGAATAAACCGAAATATAAAAAGTGATCCTTGCTTTGGACGCGTGTAAGCCCAAGAATGCTCGTTTCTGTGCATGTTATCCGTCCGTTATTCGTAGATCCTTCTCAGGTCAAGTTGTTTACGAGGCTTGGACGAAGCGGACAGGTAAGAAGGTCATGTGACATACATTTTGCAACACTTAGGACTGCTCTCCTGTATAGTACATTACATTAGGGGCGAGCACCACCCCTTGTACTTTTTAGATAGATGGATGGATGGATGGATGGATGGATGGATGGATGGATGGATGGATGGATGGATGGATGGATGGATGGATGGATGGATGGATGGATGGATGGATGGATGGATGGATGGATGGATGGATGGATGGATGGATGGATGGATGGATGGATGGATGGATGGATGGATGGATAGATAGATAGATAGATAGATAGATAGATAGATAGATAGATAGATAGATAGATAGATAGATAGATAGATAGATAGATAGATAGATAGATAGATAGATAGATAGATAGAGTAGACAGTAAGGACTCGGAAGACTCTTTGCGTATTAATTATATTGTTTTCGTATAGTTAGTCAGCTAGATGCTTCTGGGAAGTTATATTTAGTTTGGGTTTTGTTCTTTTCATTTCTTTTTCTTTATGTCAGCTCTCCTGTTTTTTCTCTGTCTTTGTATTCGTCTCAGTGTTGTAAATATTGTATATAGTATATTTTTGCTTTACTTACTTTTTCTTTATTTTGGATTTATTTGTTGTTTTTGTTCACTTTTGGGAATTGTAAATAGAAGCATATATTTTTGGTATTACTTTGGTTGTCTTTACACATATTCACTGTTTATATAAATATTTTTTAATAACCTAAATGCCAAACCCCACCATCCCCTAGCATAGCATCAGGGGTTTGTAACACCATGCTTAATCATTAACAGATAAGGTCTATGGATTTGCAGGGTTATCAACAATGTGTCTATATTTCAGGCTTGGAACAGTCCTCTGTTAAAGTCTTTTGTGTTCATTCTTGCTACAGGCAAAAAAACGAACAAATAAACTTTATTGAAACCAAATCTATGAAGTATCGGTATCGGTACTCACGAATTAAAATACTCGTATCTGTCGTACCTGTATCGGTTTGTAAAAAAGAGGTATCGGTGCATCCCTAATATCTAATAATGCTGCAGTCTTACTAGATTTGAGCGCTGCGAAAAAGGGCGATTAAACAAGATGATTAGACATTCAAAAAGCAAGCGATTGATGCATATAATAAATTTCTGTCCAGAGAGGTCAAGTTTTCATCTTCGATTGGTCTACCACAGTCAAGTGATGCGATTTCGTAGGTCAGAGTTCACCAAGCTTGATCTTTGCACAGCGGTGAACTGCGAAACTTGTCGCACAAGCTTGCGTTTCCGGTCTGATGCATTTGCATGCGTATGAATGGAGGTCTATGGGGAGAAAAGTCCAGTGTGACCACAGCTTGAGAGCTTGATTAGCCGGTTCAGGTGTGTTTGATTAGGCCTGGAGCTAAACTCTTCAGGACACCGGCCCTCCAGGACTGAGTTTGAACACCCCTACATCAGCTGATCGGCTTAACAGTGTAATCTTCAGGCATGGTAATGTCAATCTGGCAACCTGCATTTACATCATGTCATTGGGAGAAGGGCCAGTGAAAAAAACAAAGGTTGAATTTGATCCGCAATACTTAGTTCAACCGCTAGATGTCAGTCCTACATACTGCAACTTCAAATACACCTGAGGAAGTGGTAGAATTCAGGTCTTTACATGACTAGCTTGTTTCTTTTAATCAAGGGTACATTTCCCAAACACACTGAACTACAGTACAGCACGGTGCATTGTAGGAGGAAAAAAAAAACAGAGAGTTATGACTGTTTCCCGAACTGCATCGCAGATATATAGTTTGATTATATATGTACGCTAATTTGTGTCTCCAACCTCTTAAGCAGTTCAGTCATTAGACGTCTTCACAGTCTTTTCTTTTATTCTTGCCACTGGAAATGCAGTATAGACATCCATCACGTCTGTTTTTGAGTTGTCTGTCTAAAAATGACTGCACAAAGTGGCCTCATCACTATTTTGTATCAACATTTGAGCAAATTTAACAATTGAAGCAGGTGGAGCTCTGGAGGTGGAGCCCCCAAATTACATAATCTAAAACAGTGGCGGCACCCATGGTCCAAAAGTAAATCTGGATTTCTGGAGTAATGTGCACATGTTGTGTGTTTAACTCCTGTGAATTTTTACAAAGAGGCATCATTTACATCAGTGTTTCTCAACCATGTTCCTGGAGGAGCACCAGCTCTGCACATTTTCCATGTCTCCTTAACCAAACACACCTGATTCAGATCATCAGCTCATTAGCAGAGTCTGAAAGACTGTAATGGGTGTGACAGACAGAGACATCCAAAACATACAGTGTTGGTGATCCTCCAGGAACGTGGTTGAGAAACATGGATTTACATTATTAAGGCATACTAATGTTGACACTCAGGGTTCCCTTTAAAGGGATAGTTCACAAAGCACTTTGTTTGTTTGTTTTTGTTCTGTAGAACACAAGAGAAGATATTTTGTAGAATGTTGGGAACCTGCAGCCATTGACTTCCAAAGTATTTGTTTTCCCTTCTATGGATGCCAATGGTTACAGATTCCCAAACATTCTTCAAAATATCTTCTTTTGTGTTCAACAGAACAAAAATAACATCAAACTGCTTTGTAACATATTAGGGGGAGTAAATGATGGCATAACTTTCATTTTTTTTGGATGAGCTACCCCTTTAATGATGCACACAGAACTGAACTCAACTAAACCATCTCTTGTTGAACTCCAGTAAATCTGTTAAACCGACACTTGTGTTTTTCTGTCTAGGATCTGGCCGTGTTGTCTGATTCCCTTCTGTGTGAGCGCCTGCAAGGACGTAGAGCATCGCTGTCCAAACTGCAAGCATGTCGTCTTCCTGTACAAACGCATGTAGCTCGCAGGTCTGGGATGATCTTCGGACATAACACTGATAGAATTGGACAGGATTGTGTTAGTCTTTTTTTTTTGAGCATACAGTTGAAGGCAAAATTATTAGCCCTGCTGTGCAATGTTTGTTATTTTTAATTATTTTCCAAGTGCACATTTTTATGCATAATAGTTTTAATAACTAATATCTAATAACTATTTCTCTTATCTTTGCCATGATGACAGTATATAATATTTAACTAGTTGTTTTGCAAGAAACTAGTATTCAGCTTAATGTGAAATTTAAAGGCTCTGTAGGCAATCAAAAAATATGTTCTTAAGGGGGCTATAATATTGCTATTTTTAAAAAATTGTATTTATTCAAGCCAAACTAAACAGACTTACACTGTCTCCAGAGGAAAAATATAATTAAAATGAAAATAATAATAATAATAATAATAGAAAAATATTTGAAAAATAATGAAAATTTCACAGCAGGTATAATAATTCTGCCTTCAACTGCATAAAGGACAAAGATGACACTGAACTGAAACAATATACATTTAATACAGCTGAACTGTTTTCATCACATTATATTCACTTTCATTTTGTACTTACTCACCATAAAATGTCTGTCACACATTAAAGCACGGTGCTAAATGTAAGTCAGTGAAAAAACAGATTTTCAGCCAAAATCAAATTTTTTAGATTAGATTTGGCCAAACTAATTTTTATAGCTATAAACCTTCCAAGCTATAAAAATTTGACACTTGAGCCTGTATTTTATATGTATAAAATCAATTTTGTCCATTTATTCATCATATTATGTGGTGGGCAAGAAAACTGCTGCCCCATATTTTTTTGTTGTTGTAAATTGTGTATAGATATTACGTTTAAGCAAACCTTTAATAACATTTTGCTGTCATTTTGCTCATTTATATTAATAAAAAACTTGCCGTTAAAAAAAAATCACTTTATACACTGCTTTTTTTGTATCAAAGATATTTGCATCTGCTGCTCACTACAAGCCTAAAGTGCCTTCTGCTGTTCACCACCACTTCTTTAGTATAAGTTGTGTTTAGGTGTTAAATTTAAGCAAATATTATTGAACCTTTTGCTGTTGTTTTTCTCATTAATTTAAATAAATACCTTTCAATTTAAAACTCTCATTCATTCATTTGTTCATTTTCTTTTCGGCTCAGACCCTTTGTTAAGCAGGGGTCGCCACAACGGAATAAACTGCAAACTTATCCACTATATATTTTACCCAGCAGATGCCCTTCCGGCTGCAGCCCATCACTGGGAAACATCCGTACACACTCATTTACAAAGCAGGTCTCTTGCCATGTGAATTTTAACCATTATCCCTGCCGGTAATCTGGAGGATTTAGGCAAACACAGCAGCACGGCATTGTGTCTAAATGTGAACGAACTCCTGATAAAAGACAACGTCCACCATTCTCCAATTCTTGTACTGCTCTCCTGACAAAAAAATCTTGCTGCACACAAACAGCTTTGCTGTATCGGCCCTGACAGCATCGCTGGGAAAAACATGCAACAAACCCCGTGGATCCTGGAAACAAACACATAAGACCCTTCATGAACAGCTAAATACTGTGTGCCGTGGGTCCGTGTCTCACAGCTTGGCACTGGCAGGTCTGCCTTGCCTTCGGAAAGCACGTGCAGTCATGAATAATTAAGCAGCCGGCTCTTCTCATAGGATAAGAAAACTCAGTTATGAATAATAATGAGAAACCACCGTGTCGTCACTCCACTTGCAGTTTTGCGCTACGTCGCCGATTTTGATCCGCCCCAAAAATAATTTTAAACCCGGAAGCTGAAATTAGCTGACAAAAGCTCAAAATTATCCAGTTTTCCCACACCTAAAGCTGACAGCTGCTAACATTGTCTTAACTGATGCTCAACACACAAATCTCAAAAAAGCACTCGAGCGTTTCGTGAACCTTTAATAAACACTCTAAAACTTTTGTCCGCTGCTGTATCCGTTCTAGCAGCATGTAAGGCCATGTTTGTTTGTTTTGTTGTTGCTATGTACTCGCAAACATCATAAAAATTCAAAGCTCATAAAAGATTGAAAATCTTTCACTTATGAAAACAACACAGAATGGAGTTAATCGTTGGCTTATTGACACCCACAACAATGTTGCTGTGCTAAGCACTTTAGAAATCTGAACGTATTTAAACAGAAGCAAAAATAGCCTACTTGACGTGACACTGTACAGTTTCAGCACTGTAAATACAGGTGTTTTGAGGACATGTTTCTCAGCCAGTACTCACGTCAAGTTTATTTGAGATATGAGGAACTGCTGAATCCACTTCCAGCATTCATTCACAGGATTCCAGCTCCACCCCTCGTCTTTGCCATTTCATTGTCTTTCTTCGTCATTGTTATCTCGTTGTCTTAGAGAAAAGCATCAGTTTCCACAGCTCACAGTTGACTTCTGAAACACACAGGTAGGCATATACGTCTGTATACATGCATATATTGAAATGTATTTAGGTTGTTTAAATAGGGATCATATTCTTTTCTTTTGGGCTGTATATGCTTCCATTTTACTTCGTTTCAACAATGATAATTGTTAAAATAATAATACATTGCATGCATACATTGTAATATGTTTATGTGTTTTTGATGGGATCTTATTTGTTTACTTTTGGACTGGATATATGTATCTGTAGCTATAATACAATTGAACTGTGTAATAAAAGAACAAGAAGGATAACACCAATTTAAAAATACATATTATTATTATTATTATTATTATTATCTAAAAATACTAATTATTGAATTTTATATAATATACAGTAGTCAATGTTTGTGGTTTAAAAGTGCTTTTCAAAATTGTCATGAATGGATGTTGTTGAGTAGTTTTAGGACAATTTTGGCGAAAGGTTTTGACTCGCTTTCAACGTTGACTACTCTGTGTTAGAACTGTGATTAAACTTTGTGTCTAAATGAAAAGTTGCCTTAATTACTCATGTAACTTTTAATTCAAGTGTCCGTTTGCAGATGAAATGTTGTCACTTTTAGAAAGTTCAGATTTAAAAATATGAATTTTGAGAATTAAAATTGAGTTTCTCCACACACATGTTCCGCCGACTCGTCTGTCAACCAGAACACAAACTCCTGACTGGGGAAATGTTGTCAAACTGGCTGCTCTACTGTTAGGATATGAAACTAACTAACACAGTTTTACAGAAATGGTTGTGTTACAATTAAGTCTCACTAAAGTCTCACAGAGTTTATTAACTATACTATAGTCAAGTCTATTATACTATAATATACAGTTGAAGTCAGAATTATTAGCCCCCTTCAAATTTTTTTCTTATTTTTAAAATATTTTCCAAATGATGTTTAACAGAGCAAGGTAATTTTCACAGTATGTCTGATAATATTTTTTCTTCTGGAGAAAGTCTTATTTGTTTTATTTCGGCTAGAATAAAAGCAGTTATTAATTTTTTAAAAAACATTTTTGGGACAAAATTATTAGCCCCTTTAATCTATATTTTTTCTCGATAGTCTACAGAACAGACCATCGTTATACAATAACTTGCCTAATTACCCTAACCTGCCTTGCTAACCTAATCACCCTAGTTAAGACTTTAAATGTCACTTTAAGCTGTATAGAAGTGTCTTAAAGAATATCCAGTCAAATATTATTTACAGTCATCATGACAAAGAGAAAATAAATCAGTTATTAGAGATGAGTTATTAAAACTATGTTTAGAAATGTGTTGAGAAAATCTCTCCATTAAACAGAAATTGGAAAAAAATAAATAAACAAGCGGTCTAATAATTCAGGGGGCTAATCATTCTGACTTCAACTGTATGTATAAATATACATATAATTAAATGAATGCTCCAGCATACTGTAGTATCAGCTATGAACTTATAAACTGTAATACATACTTTAGTATAATTTTTACTACAGTAACAGTGGTGCAATATAATATGGGTGTTGGGTAAATTGTATATATTACTATAGTTGTTGTGTTGTCTTTACTATAGTATGTTTACAAAAACACTGTAGTATTTACCATATTTATAGTATTTTTTCATGGAAAGAAAACTGCAAAATCAATGCATTGCATCTAGAATACAAATATCTAACAAAATAAAACAGATGGTTGCACGAGTTTATAGCAAAATCATTTTAAAGCAGGTTTAAATTATATTTTAAACATTAAAATGGATAGATCTTGTGCTGGACTGTGACTGGTCGCTGTAAATTAACATGTTGAAGGAAACATGTAGTTTTATTTGCTTTATTTTGTGATAAATCTATGGAACGGCCATCTAATAAAACCAATAATCAACTCAAAGCTGTGGTTTATTGTGAATTTATAACATCTAAAGGGGTATCTTAACACATAAATCTCTGTAAATCACAGCTTATTGCGGCTTGATGCTTTTATTTATTGCTTATTCCACAAAGTCTTATTTTCACAAAGTAATACGAAGCAGTTTCTTTGGCTCGGTATTGATAGAAGTCACAGATGTATGCTTGTAGAGTATTTTGAGAGTTTTTTTTTAGAGGAAAAGCTTTGATATATAGTGATAAATAAAGCAATAGTGATAAATGAGGCCATTTCTTTGGCTCAGCATTGATAATGGTGACAGATGTATGCTGGTAAAGTATTTTTAGAGTATTTTACAGTGTTTTTTAGACTAACAGCTTTGAATGAATACAGTAATAAATAAGGCAATAAGGCTATTGCTTTGGCTCAGTATTGATAACATGCACAGATGTTTGTTTGTAGACTATTTTTTGAGCGTTATCTATTCAATTCAATTCAATTCAGCTTTATTTGTATAGCGCTTTTACAATGTAGATTGTGTCAAAGCAGCTTCACATAAATGGTCATAGTAACTGGAACAGTGTGGTTCAGTAACTGGAACAGTGTGGTTCAGTTTTTAGTGTTTAAGTTCAGTTCAGTTTAGCTCAGTTCAGTGTGATTTAATCATTACTGAGAGTTCAAACACTGAAGAGCCAATTCATCGATGCGTAGCTCTACCAATCCTGAACCATGCGAGGCAGTGGCGACAGCGGAGAGGGAAAAAAAACTTCACCTTCTAGAGTCAAAGCTTCGAATGTTTAGTAATGAATAAGGCAATAGTGATGAATAAGGCCATTTCTTTGGCTCAGTATTGATAACAGTCACAGATGTATGCTAGTAGAGTATTTTATGAGTATTTTACAGTGTTTTTTAGAGTAACAGCTCCAAATGTATAGTAATAAATAAGGCAATAGTGATGAATAAAGCCATTTCTTTGTCTTAGTATTGATGACAGTCACAGATGTTTGTTTGTAGAGTATTTTAGAGTATTTTACAGTGTTTTTTAGAGTAAAAGCTTTGAATGTATAGTTATAACCAAAGAAATAGTGATAAATAAGGCCATTTCTTTGGCTCATGATTAATAACAGTCGTAGATGTATGTTTGTAGAGTATTTGTACAGTATTTTTTAGAGTACCAGCTTCAAATGTATAGTAATAAAAAAAGTAATAGTGATAAATAAGGCCATCCCTTTGGCTCATTATTGATAACAGTGACAAATGAATGCTTGTAGAGTATTTTTACAGTATTTTACCGTGTTATTAAAGTGACAGCTTTGAATGTATAGTGAAAAATAAGGCCATTTATTTGGCTCATCATTGATAACAGTGACAGATGTATGCTTGTAGAGTATTTTTACAGTATTTTACTGTGTTTTTTAGAGTAACAGCTTCAAATAAATAGTGAAAAATAAGCCAATTTCTTTTGCTTATTATTGATAACAGTGACATATGGATGTTTGTAGAGTGATATTTCTTTGTAAAGCATTAACAAACCACTTTGATTCTAAATGTCTGCTAAAAACCAAATTTCTATTCTAAAAATCTACAAGTCTAATGCTCAACCAATTTTTAACATGTGTTGAAAGTTAAGTTGACATTCATGTAAAGTCTCAATAGCTCAGGTTATGTGACGTAAAATCTGAAACCTGCTTGTTGCAGATGTATTTTTAGAGCAATAGCATGCGACCGTGACTCAGCACAGACAATAATGACTCACTGATGTCACATCAGCATGGTCTGAATTCTTAATTATGGCAAATATCCTAATTTGTGACGTCAATGTGGCCGTATGATGGTATCAAATTAGACTGTTGCGATCAACTGCTAAAGCTTTTATACAGTATTTTTGGCGAATGCTGCAAAAATCGTAACTTTAAACAGGTATAATAACAAAAATACTTGTTTTTTAATAAAATATAATTGTAAATATAAAATTATGTATATAATAAAAGAATTGTTTATTGCTTTAAGTTCAGACTGAAAAAAATGCTTACACTAAATTAAACGGCAAAACGGTGAGAAATGGCAGATTTATTACAATTACTATAGTTCAACAACTCGAGTTTATTAGCTTTTTACTCCATTTACTAAATGAACCATGAGTTGTAATGAGATCATTTTTACACATTAAAAGGCATTGACTAAAAAATTTACATCATCTAAGATTAATAAAACCTTTTGTGCATGTAGTTTTCATTGTGGGTTTAGTTAAATTAACTAAAATATTGCACAGTTAACCTAAAATATCCTTATATGCTGTAATATACTGGTTGACTTAAATTTTTAAGCTAAATCAAAATGGTTTTATTTATAAACTTATAGTTTATTAAACTGACTTAAAACAGCGTGTGTAACTTATAAAATTAATTTAGAAATAGATTAGCTTAGTTACAATTAACTAAAAAACACATGTTGTCATGACTAATTGATCTTTTAATTTTGATTGTATAAATAGTCCAGCTTAATCTCACGAGGAAACGTAAGTGTTTTACGTTGTGTCAGTTTAGTGGCTTATTCGGACGAATATGTACGACTTTAAAAAGGAGGCGTGGCACCTTACCCCACCCCTAACCCCAACTGTCATTGGGTGACGAGTAAATCGTACTAAATTGTACAAATTTGATCGTACGAATTCATACAAATTCGCCACTAAATCAAAAAGTTACGAATTGCTGTGAGATTGCATTGAAATAGTCACATAATTTTTAGTCAATATTTATGCAGAAATCTTCACGTTTGATCTATTAAGCTAATTAAGCAATTAAATCTTCAAGCATCTGGTGCTGTAATAAACACTTTAAATAAAGTGTAAACATTATTAAATAAAAGGCAGTTTAAATAATAAGTAATTATTCATGATACTTTAAAGCGACCATGATGTTAACTTTGTTCATGTTCATTACCACAATTTATTAAGCTATTGAATATCAAGACAGCATTTAGTGCATTCATTATTATTAACATTTTTGAATAACAATCCATTAGCTGTTAGCTAGTTAATGCATGTTAGTTAGCATGAACTAACGTTATTTAACTTTATTTACCGTTTTCGAAGATGCAAGATATGTATTAATTGTTTGTTCATATTAGTAAAAACATTAACTGATGGCCCATTATTTTAAAGTGTCATCTGGTTTGCCAGTGTTGTACTCAGAACGGTCAATAAAGCCAGTTTAATTGTCATCTGCAGTTTGCCGAACATGGAAAAGGGAATGTCACCTCCGCCATATCCTGGCCCTCCACTGGTCCAGAACAACATTACCTACCAGCAGCCGCCGGTTACTTATCAACCTCAAGCAGGTCAGCTGAACAAAGCCCTAAAATTGAGTTTATTGATTAATTGTTCATTGATTACTACAGTGCTTCAATTATGATCTTGTTGTTTTTCAGTTCCGATGGCTGCTGTATACAATCCAATGACTCAGCAGTCAGTCATGTGTCCACTGTAACCCAGTCATCTAGCATGGGTGAGAACTGACGTCTTTTTAAACTATAGAGTTGAACACACTTGAAGTCTTACAGCATTACCAAACCCTGTCGCCACTTTCTAAATATAGAGAATGGAAAAAAAATCTGCACTGTAATGATGACATGACATATTTTTGTGTCTGCATTGTTTGCATTGTAAAAGTCGATGATGTTAAAGAGACAAAAGCAGGAGGGTTTTAACGAAAATATTTAGAAACAATGTAGAAGTGTCATATTATGATAATAATTTATTCTAATTATCATTAAATTAATAATAGAAAACAAATTCTGACAAAAAAAAGTCAAGAGTGGAATAAAAAGTCAGAAAAATTGTAAATAAGTCATGAGATGTCAAAATTATGGCAAAACTAAACTATGAGATACGACATGCTAAATTGTAATTATGAGATAAATAGACAAAATCTACGTCATCATAATAACGAGATAAAATGTCAAAGCTATGATTTAATTATACATTAAATCATGATGGAGTTAAGTTATAGATATGAGCATAAAGTCAAACATTGACATATTAGATCATAATTATAAAACAAAATTGCAAACATGATGAAATAATAGTTCTGAGATGTCAGAACTTACATATTATGAGTCAAACATTAAAGATTATAACAATATAAAATGATTAAATATAAGTCAAATTTGACTTTTATGTTCAAACTGTAAAATAAAAAGTCAGATATATGACACTAAATCGGAATTATGACAACTGACAGTCATAACTATGAGATCATTTTGATTTATCTCACTAAGAAAATTATAAAATTTTAAGAAATAAAATACAAAAGTGATTTATTGTCATAAATGACAAAACTGACACATTTAGTCATAAAAATTCAGATGTATGATATATTAAAACATAATTATGAAAACTGACAATCATAACTATGAGATAAGTCTAAATTACACTAGAAGTTCCATTATAAAATACAAAGAAATAAACTACAAAACGGATATACAGTCATAACTGTCATAAAAGGTCATATATATGACATAATAAATCATAATTATGTAAACTGACATTAATAACTATGAGATAAGTCTAAATTACACTAATAAGTCCATTATAAAATACAAAAGATAAAATACAAAAGTGATTTATAGTTATAAATGTCCAAACTGACACATTAAGTCATAAAAAGTCAGATGTATGACATTTTAAATCATAATTATGAAAACTGACAGTCATAACTATGAGATAAATCTAAATTACACTAGTAAGCCAATAATAAAATACAAAAAAATAAACTACAAAACGGATGTACAGTCATAACTGTCATAAATGTCCAAACTGACACATTAAGTCATAAAAAGTCAGATGTATGACATATTAAATCACAATTATGTAAACTGACATTAATAACTATGAGATAAGTCTAAATTACATAAATAAGTCCATTATAAAATACAAAAAGATAAAATACAAAAGTGATTTATAGTTATAATTGTCAAAACTGACAGGTTAAGTCATAAAAAATCAGATGTATGACATATTAAATCATAATTATGAAAACTGACAGTCATAACTATGAGATAAATCTAAATTAAGTCATATTTAAGAGAAAAAAGATGAAAATCTGAAAATAAGTAATAAATATGAGATAAAAAAAAGTCTAATTTATGACATAGCCATAATTATGAGATAACAGTCAAACTGACACAGTGAAACAGAGATACAGTTCTAAACTGAAAGTAAACATGTCAGAATGGAGATAACCTCAAGAATGATGAAAATGGTGAAGCACCAGTTGCAGTTTCTTAGTGAATTTGGAGAAAAGCCTCATGTTTTTTTTTTTTTTACCTCATGTTGTGTCACATTTTGAGATTGTCGTCTGTTTTCCAGGTCAAATGGCACCAGTTTACCCAGGAGTAGTTTCTCCAGGCATGTCTACATCCACAGTAACTCAGACAATGCAGTCTACAGCCATGCCTGGCATTGGTGAGTGCTGATAAAACCCTCTGTGTAAATAACATCCAGAGCTCTTCAGTGTTAGACAGCAATATTACAGGCAGAATTAGGATTTCAGTTGTGTCGAATGTTTAAAACAGTCAAACAATATATGGAAGGCCAACCCAGGCTGAATACGTACCCCTATATACATTTCTGGAGAGCGCTAAATACAACCCGGGCTCATTGTGGAAACGTAGCCCCGCGGACGTTTCTGCGGACCGCGATTTACAACCCGGGAGGTACGTATTTGAGCGGTTTTTGTTTTCGCGGATCCGCGAGAGGCAGCTGTGCGCGCTTTTTCGCGTCTCAGGCGCCTCTCGGGAGCGTGCGCCGTTCACGCCTGCGCCGTTCTCGCGCGAAAAGCCGCCGGATCGGCCGACTCGGCTGCCCTCCTCTTCCTCCTCCTCCTTCTTCCCTAAACCCGAGCGACGGTTCGCAAAAGCCGTCCAGAAAAAAAAAAAAAGCAAAAGCCCTCGTCTTCGATTTCGACCGCGTTTTTGGATCCCGCCGCGTTCTCGTTATTTTTCGGATTCCGTTTTTCGTCTTACCTGATTTCAGGAACCGATGTTCCCTGGACTCGATCCCGGTCGTCGTCCCCGTGGCCGGCTACTCCTCCTCCTCCGGGGCCTCCGCTCCGCTCCGCCGACACAACGCTGTGGGCTAAGCGGACAAACTGGTTGCATCGGGAAAGCCCTCCACTCGGGAGGCGAGCCGTCGGCCGGCGAGCGCGAAGAGGAGGGGTGAGGCGGCGCCACACCGCCCCGCAGCGTTCGCTCGAAAAAAACTAAACGCGGCCTTACGTACCTCCGGCCATGTAAATCGCGGTCTCCAGAAACGTCCGTGGGGCTACGTTTCCAGAATGAGCTTGGGTTGGCTAAATACGTCCCAGGAGCTACATTTTTCTTTTCTCGAATCCACCAGAGGCCGCTGTGTATGCTTTTTGAGATCTTAAATTTCTCTCACGAGTGCCATTCGTACCTGCTGGTCTCCCGTAGAGTCCACCAGAGACAGCTATCTGTCTGACTAACTGACCCACTCTCCACCTTCCCTAAACCCAACCATTAGTGTTTTCAAAAGCACCGATTGACCAGAAATGTATTTAGGGCTGCGTTTTCAGAATGAGCATGTGTTGCGAAAGCCACATAAACAGTCAGATTTGTGTTCTTGGCTTTTATAATTACATTTTTCTTCTCTTGCTTTCAGCTCCGATGGCTGTTTACAACCCACAGCCCGCTGTCATGTCGTCCTCAGTAATTCAGACGGTTCAGACTGCTGCGCCTCCTCCTGCCCAGAGTGAGTTATAAAGTCCTAGGCGATGTTTACACAACATTCATTTTCCTTCAGCTTAGTCCCTTATTTATCAGAGGTTGCCACAGCGGAACGAACCACCAACTATTTCAGCATATGTTTTACACGTTTATGTTTATTCAGTAGATGAATAAACTAAGTTGGCCTTAGCGTATGATTGTGTATGAATGTTTCGCAGTACTGGGTTGCAGCTGGAAGGGCATCCGCTGTGTAAAACATATGGTGGAATAGTTGGCAGTTCATTCCACTGTAGTGGCCCCTGATAAATAAAGAAACTAAGCTAAAGGAAAATTGATGAATGGATTTTAGTTTACGCAGTTTGCATGTTATTGTGGTGCAAATGTGGTTACTATTAAAATGAATACTAAAAGTATGGCCCAACCGACACCTAGTGTTTAATTTCTGCCTAGATGTTATATGTAATTTTCCTCAATATTTCTTCTTCTTTCTGTATAGCCACAGTGGTGCTCATGCCCTCACGACTGGGTGAGTGTCCAGGACAGATGAGATGTCCTCACTGCCAGCAGCAGGTGGTGACCGAGACCACATATGTCAACGGACTGTTGGTGTGGGGCATCTGCATTGGTCTCGGCATTTTCGGGTAAGCAACAGCATTCATCAGATTCTCACTAGCGGAACTATGGGACGCATTTATGTAGATTTGTATTTACAAGTTTGTATTTGTATTGAGTATATTTTTCAGTACTCTTTTCACCATGGAATGTAACTAAGTAATGCAACTAGTTGGTGGAGTAAGTCAATATTGTAATGCACTACTTTTAAAAGCAAGTTTCCCCAACACTGATCATGACAAAGATAATCAGTTATTAGAAATGTGTCATTAAAGCTATTTTGTTTAGAAATGTGTTTTTAAAAAATCTGCTCTCTGTTAGACAGAAATTACGGGAAAAATATTCAGGGGGCTAATAATTCAGAAAGGCTAATGATTCTGACTGTATAAAATGACCAATTGTGATGGTCATTGTTTCTGTCTAGGATCTGGCCGTGTTGTTTGATTCCCTTCTGTGTGGATTCCTGCAAAGACGTCCAGCATCGCTGTCCAGGCTGCAAATCTCTTGTGTATGTGTACAAACGTAGTTAAGCTTGTTCTGGAACAAGAACGGGGAAAAAGAATCTGGACTTGACTGTACTTTCTAATTCATTGACAAATAATGCTATACACCTTATGGGTTTCTCCTTGTTGCAACATAGGCTCATTCTGAAAATGTACATCTATATACATTTGTGGAGATTGCGAATTATGTAGCCAGAGGTACGTATGGCTGAATTTCTTTTTTAAAACGAATGCTACAAGGTGGTATGACACCGTTCCTTTTCGCGCTTACTAGCTGACCACTTACCTCCGTGGCTTTTTCACTGTTAACAAATTGGCCAGGGGCTTATCATGTTCGGTGGCGGACTTTTGATGTGGAGCGGAATTGGCTGTGAGGTTAGGTTCGAGTCAGGTCAATCGGTGCTTTTGAAAACACTATCAGTTGGGTTAGGGAAGTAGGTGGGCAGGTCAATCGGTGCTTTTGAAAACACTATCAGTTGGGTTAGGATAGTAGGTGGGTGGGTCAATCGGTGCTTTTGAAAACACTATCAGTTGGGTTAGGGAAGTAGGTGGGCGGGTCAATCGGTGCTTTTGAAAACACTATCAGTTGGGTTAGGATAGTAGGTGGGTGGGTCAATCGGTGCTTTTGAAAACACTATCAGTTGGGTTAGGGAAGTAGGTGGGCGGGTCAATCGGTGCTTTTGAAAACACTATCAGTTGGGTTAGGGAAGTAGGTGGGCGAGTCAATCGGTGCTTTTGAAAACACTATCAGTTGGGTTAGGGTAGTAGGTGGGCGGGTCAATCGGTGCTTTTGAAAACTATCGGTTGGATTTAGGGAAGGCGGTGGGTGGTTCAATTTGTGGTTTTGAAAACACTGTCGGTTGGGTTTAGAGAAGGGGGTGGGCACTGGTTAATCAGTGCTTTTGAAAACACTGTCGGTTGGGTTTAGGGAAGTGGGTGGGCGGGTCAATCGGTCCTTTGGAAAACACTATCAATTGGGTTAGGGAAGTGGGTGGTCGAGTCAATCTGTGTTTTTGAAAACTCTATCGGTTGGGTTTAGGGAAGGAGGAGGGTGGGGCAGTCGATTGGTCAGTCAGTCAGTTAGTCAGTCAGTCATCAGCGACCTCTGGTGGATTTACGTGAGAGCAGAAGGTGCAAATGACACTCGCGAGAGAAATTTGAAATCGAAAAAAGCGTACACACTGGCCTCTGGTGGATTTATGAAAACAAAAACTGCAAAAAAACATACCTCCTGGGATGTATTTGGCACTCTCCAGAAATGTATACAGGGGTATATATTCAGAATGAGCCTGGGTTGCTTTCTTGTGGATGGAATATGATTTATTCTTTCCTTATTTACTGTAAACAGGGTTCCCATAGGTCATGGAATTACTGTCTTTTTTTTTTTCAAAGACAGGCAGATTTTATATATTTTGTTTTTGTTTGTCACTGTTCATCACAATGTAATTTTTATATACCTCATTGTACTATTGCATTGTTTCACACATGTTGTTGTGGTTAGGCTATGTCTCAACTTCCTTTTATTTCATTCACGGCCATCAACTGGCAACCATTTACATCAAATGCAGTCACCAGACCTGTTAACTAAGACTAACATATCAGAATAAAATAATTTTTAGAGCTCTGACTTCAAAATAACAAAAAAGTAAACAACTGAAAAATTGAATGTAAAGTTTGTAAAACTGCTATTAAGCTACCACAACTACACAAACAGTAAGTACCTCAGATCTTTTTAAAAGAAAATGTGAGGTAAACTATGCATTGTTCTAACAATGGCTATTAAAGTCCTGCAAAATTATGTTAAAGCTAAAACCATTTTAATATTATGCAAACCACAACAGCTGCCTGTTTTTTTAATTCATAATAGGTCATGGAAATTCATTTTTTTAGTCAGTCAAAGTCAGGACATTGTACTTAAAGTGGGAACCCTGTGTAAACTATTAAATGAACATAGCAGGATGTACTATAATGATTATGTAAATATTTTCAGGGCAATCTAGTAAAATATAAATGTATATTTCACTCCTACACTTCACTATTTATTCATGACATGCTTATTTTAAGTGTTTGTCTGAATAAATTGTTCTTAAAGGGATAGTTCACCCAAAACATGGAAAATTTTATGATTTTTTTTTAGGTGAACACGAAACAAGATATTCTGAGAAATGTTGGGGGTAAAATTGACATCTAAATAGGAACCAAAAAAACCTATATAAGCCAATGGCTGTTTGTAACACGTGAAGAATCAGTAATGGTGACCGAATTTTCATTTTTGAGGGGTGAACTATCCCTTTAAATGTCTTTTAAAACCTTATTGTTTCAAAACAATTACAGATTTGCTATATCCGATGTTGTTTATTGAGAAAATATAACATGGTATTTCAGATCTATATAATAGACAATGTAAATGACTCCTTTAACCTGAATGCAATTATTAACAATAAAAAGCATATTTCCCAATGCTGCCTTCTCTTAAAGAAACAGTTCACCCAAAATGTAAATTTACTTGTTTCAAACGTTTATGAGTTTAATTCTTCTGTTCAAGACCAGAGAAGATAGTTTAAATGATACTGGAAAATGGTAACCACTGACTTGCATAGTATTTGTTTTTTCCACTGTGGAAGTCAATGATTACAGGTTTTCAGCTTTCTTCAGAATATCTTTGGTGTTCAAACACTAAAGTGAAAAGTCATCTATATCTTGGATGGTCTTATGGTAAGTAAATTAACCACAAAATTCCCCCTAAAGGATAAAAAATGGCAACTTAGTCTTTTTCTCTAAACTACAGACTTTAATTATCAATCAACCAATTAATCAATCAATTAACCAACCAATCAACCAACCAACACACCAGTCAATCAATAAATCAATCAACTAACCAACCAATCAATAAACCAACCAATCAATCAACCATTCAATAAATAAATCCAATCAACCAACAAACCATTCAACCAATCAACAAACCAACAAACGAGCCAACCAACCAATCAATCAATCCATCAACCAACCAGTCAATCAAACTTCCAACCAAACAACCGACTAATCAACCAATCAACCTACCAACAACCAATCAATCAATTAATCAACCACTCAATCAATCCATCAACCAACCAACCAACAAACTAGCCAACCAACCAATCAATCCATCCATCAACCAACAAACCAACCAATCAACCAATCAATCAATCCATCAACGAACCAACCAACCAACCAACCAATCAACCTACCCACCAAACAACCAATAAATCAACCAACCAACCAACCAATTAACCTACCAGCAACCAATCAATCAATTAATCAACCAATCAATTTATCAACCAACCAACTAATCAATCAACCTTCCAATCAATCAACCGACCAATCAACCAATCAATCTACCAACAACCAATCAATCAATTAATCAACCAATCAATTTATCAACCAACCAACAAACCAACCAACCAATCAATCCACCCAACCAATCAACCAACCAACCAACCAACCAACAAACCAGTCAACCAACCAATCAATCAATCCATCAAACAACAAGCCAACCAACCAACCAATCAATCCAACAAACAACCAACCAACCAATCAATCCAACAAACAACCAACCAACCAACCAACCAACAAGCCAACCAACCAATCAATCCATCCATCCATCCATCCATCCAACCAACCAACCAATCCAACAACCAACCAACTAACCAACCAACAAGCTAACCAACCAACTAATCAATCCATCCAACCAACCAATCAATCCATCCAACCAACCAACCAACCAATCCAACAACCAACCAACCAACCAATCAACCAATCAATCAATCCATCCATCCATCCAACCAACCAATCCAACAACCAACCAACCAACCAACCAACAAGCTAACCAACCAACTAATCAATCCATCCAACCAACCAATCAATCCATCCAACCAACCAACCAACCAACCAACCAACCAACCAACCAATCAATCAATCAATCAATCCATCAACCAACCAACCAATCAATCAATTAATCAATCCATCCAACCAACCAACCAATCCAACAACCAACCAACCAACAAGCCAACCAACCAACCAATCAATCCATCCATCCAACCAACCAACCAACCAACCAATCAATCCATCCATCAACCAACCAACCAACCAACCAATCAACCTACCAACCAAACAACTGACCAACAAATCAACAAACCAAGAAAACAATCAACCAATCAACCAATCAATCAACCAACCAATCAATCAAGCAAGTAATCAACCGTTCAATTAAACAACCAATCCTGATCAATCAATCTAATCAATCAAACTCTATTTATAAATTAAAATACCCAAAATGCTGTGCAAAGAACCTAAAACAGGACATAAAATACAATTACGAAATGCTTAAAAACCCATGAAAAAAATCCTATAAACAATCAAAATGTCAACAGGCTGAAGAGAAAACACGGGTTTAAAGATCTGATTTAAGAACAGACAACGAAGAGCTCTAATAACCAGAGGCAAAGCATTCCTCAATTTAGCAACTGCTACAGCAAAAGGCATGGTCCCCCGTGAGCTGTGTTTTATGCATATTCGGAAACAATTGTGATCAGCTGAGAGAGCAGAAATAAAGAAATGATCTCTCTCTTTATCCTGGTCCATCTAAAACCAGTTACAAAGCTGCTGAACTGACCCTGAAACTTCTATATTAGCTGATCTGGTTCTGTCGGTTGTTTTCCCACTCATACATTAGCATTATAATGACTTTAGCCACAGCTCTACTTATACTCAATATCAACTATTGTCCTTAAAACGTGCTGTTGACCCAGTATGCTGAGTCTGCATAAAGATTCATGCATCATTGAACACACTGAAAGACATCAAGCACATTGTTGAGTCGTCATCCATTTTAAATTTAAATCCATTATCTGGTTTCATTGTCAAGCCTTACTGCATGCACATCCATTTGTTAAAGTTCAGTAAAACATTCAGGAACAATTGTGATCATCCAAGAGAACATTACAAAAAAACAAGCACATTACAAGCTGAAACTGAAACTTCTTTGTCAAATATGGGGTTTCATCCTGGGAATCATGGCATTTATCCTGGGTTTTTTTTTTTTTTTTTTGGAGACACATACACTCTTGTTAGTTTGCTCATGTAAGGCATTTCCGTTAATATGAAGGTCCTGATTAAAAATGGATAAGTTGACCGATGTAAGCTTGTTTGGTGTGACAATGAAAATCTAGGTGCTTTAAA